AAAATATTTGATCAGATCACTCAATTTATTACAAAGCAATTTGTATGCAAATCATCAGTGTTTGCTTTACAATTTTGTCAATATGGTCGCATTAATTGCATAAATATGCTAATTACTTTGTACCTTCCGTGTTCATTAGCTGATTGTATTTGGCACAGTACATTCGATTAGGAGAAATGCGCGGCAATTATGGGTGAAAAAAAAAATTTGTATTATGGAATAAAAATCTTTTTTTTGGTAAACGAGCAGACGGATCACCTAATGGTAAGCTATCGGCGTCGCCCATGGACACCTGGAATACCAGAGACGTTACATGTGCTTCACCGGCCTTTTGGGGATTAGGAGTTGGAGGATTGTTGGAGATTCAAGGATTGGAGAAGGGGAGGGCGGTAATTGGGCTTCCGGTAACCTCATTCACACGACGAAACACAACGCAAGCGTTGCTTCACGTCAGTTTTCTGTGAGGTCGTGGTATCACTCCAGTCGAGCCGGCCCATTCGTGCCGAAGCATGGCACTCCCACACTTAAAATATCTGTTGTTACATAACAAAAATAATAATTAATTATTATGTTTTTGGCTTTCTCGCGTAACTTTTTGACCAAAATCTCAACTAATTTCAAGTCATGCTAGACTTAGAGGCTTATGTTCATGAGCAGCATTCGGAGCCGAGCCAGTAGCAGCGCGAACGTCGTCACCGCGTCGCGGGTTACGGAATGCTGCTCATGAGCATGGCTTTAAAATAGTCGAATTCCTCGTCAATCGTGAGTAAGCCGAAACATATTAATTAATTTAGTATGTCTCAAGAAAGTTTTAATAAAAAAAATTGTACTTTATTGTCGTTGACATCGATTTCAAAAAAAGGTTTTTCGTTTCTCTGTCTCTCTTTGTCGTGCGTAATATCTAAGCATAGAAATTCACACACACATCACACTTATGAAGAAAATTACAGTGGATCATACAGAAAATGTTCCGTTCGAGATCAAACTCGACACCGTTGCACCCACTGCACCACTACAAACGCTGTGAACCGATAAGCAAGCAAAGTTCAAAACGAAACATGTTGCCATTAGCAAAATGATAGGCGTCAGTATCACATACACTTTAGTAGTTTAGTAAGTGACATGATATTATTTTCACTATTTATGTTATGAGTCCCATGTAATTTAAAATTCCAGACTACGTGCTACCACTGAGAATTTTTAAAAATCTCAGTACTTAATCCTTTGCCCGGCCCGGGAATCGTACCCGAGACCCCTTCGCACTTGCGACCACTCGACCAACGAGGCAGTATCTATCAATAGGTGATATATAATACGAATGTATGATAATTAATAGATATTCTAAACCAAAAGCAAGAAATAAATCATATTCATAAAAAGGAATAGGTACCTTCGTTTGAAAAACTAAAAAATAATCCCTTCAAAAGCTCTGTCTATAAATACACATATACGTTGAAATACTCAAACGCTACTTAACTTTATGTCGTGCTTAAATATCTATAGTTCTGTCGCTACAAATTTTTAGTAAAATAACAGAGATGGCACGATATATAAGTACAACTTCAAATTGAGTACTTTCTTTAATCAAAAATAAATTATTTCGACGGTTCTACAATAAAATATTAAAAAATAATCAAACTTTCATTAACTTATTTTACGACCAACTTAAGTTTAGCATTTCTACAGCGAATTTTTAAGAAATAAGTATGCTGTTTGACGCTAAAAAACGTGACGCACTACGCACAACACAATACACAATCTCGTACAAAATTCATAGAAAACTCTCTGTTTTTGACAGTTCGAAAAAAGTATTTAATTTGACTAGATGTCAAGTACCCAATTGAGTATTTTTATTTATGGTATAAGCCGGTAAACGAGCAGACGGATCACCTGATGGTAAGCAATCCGCGTCGCCCATGGACACCTGGAACACCAGAGGCGTTACAAGTGCATTGCCGGCCTTTTGGGGATTAGGAGTTTGAGGATCGTTGAGGATTCAAGAATTGGGGAGATTGGGGAAGGGGAGGGCAATTGGGCCTCCGGTCAATCAATGATAGGTATGTATTTATAACAAAACAATACATACATTCAATGGGGGTAAGCAGAGACTAGGGAACGCCAATTACTACGATTCTTACATACCTCTTTCGCTTCATTAACAGTATAATACTCGAATCAAAATGTAACAATCTATACATTTAATAAATCTGTAGAAAAGTATTTTTTTGTACATCTTATATAAGTTTCATACAAAACAAACAATTAAATGAACAGTAGTTGTCATGCGGCCCTGATAAGATTATACGTGTCTTATCATTGTGGAACATTCTTTTATCTCTTATTTGTTTTTACGCTGAACCATGTGAGGTCCTTGTGTTGATAGTGTTGTTTTCTTTTGACTACTATTTAATGGAGTGAATTTCTTCGTTGATTTTTAAAAGTAGACAGGGATATTGATGACTTGTCATTGGTTTTATCATTTGATACCTGAGTTGAGAATTAAGGATAGAATACCCATTTTTTTCGAAAGTTAGTTGTTAGTATATAGAATCGGTTACTAGCGCATAAATAAGATTAGTAGTTTATCAGATGTCCTTTAACTTAGTTTTATACTTACAAAGACCTGGGTGCTGACTCTTGAAATTAATCTCAATGTCAATGCAATTTCAATCCAATAAAATCTCAATAATTATTCAATGTCAAAACAATATCGTAGCTGTTAAAACAGCATTCAGAGTACGGAACATAAAGCCAAACTCAATACCATTTAGTTCAATAAATATTCACGCAATACGGATGCAATAGGCGCTAGTGTTGCAACTCAAGAGTACGAAATTGCACTATACCAATGTCGACCGATCGGAATTGGATTCAAGAGTAAGGTCCCTAGTCAGAATGTTTGGAAACACAAAATTGTGCCATGTAAAGATTTTGATTAGAGCATCGAAAATCAATATTTATAGTTTATACACGATTAAAGAAAGTCAAAATTTTGATAAAATAATTAGGTACATATTGGAGCTATGTAACCGAATATATCGTATCACTTGTACTGAGTTGAGTAGGTCAGGAATAACAATCGAATAAAGTTACAAACAAGTTACTTTCAGTAAAGAGTAATAAAAAAAATATACTATGGGAGAGCGAAAATCTCTTAATATTTTTATTAAAGTAAAATAATAAAATATATCATCATTATCGAACACCTCATTGGCCGAGTGGTCGCAAATGCGTCTGCCGGGCAAGGCATCTCGGGTTCGATTCCCGGGTCAGGCCAAGTATTACTGGGTTTTTCAAAATATTCTCAGTAGTAGCACGGAGTCTGGAATTGTGTCCGGTATATGGCAATAGACTCACCCCCTATTACATGGGACTCATAACATAAATAGTGAAAAGTGGGTGTTACATTGTACAATGGCATAATGTACGCCTCTGCCTACCCCTTCGGGGATAAAAGGCGTGATGTTATGTCATGTCATCATTATCGCCGTCACCATCAGCATGTTACCCTAGTTTTGGAAGTCGCGTAGAACCTAACGGGTAACCGGAGCTCCGGCTCGACGTGCAGGAGAAGGAACGGGGGGGTTTTTAGTCAGTAAGAGTCTGACACTCCCTCCCGCCTCACCCAGACGGGAGAAGTCATTCGATGATTTTCCCCCCTTAAAAAACCAGTTTTGGAAACCATTCAAGTTTCTAATGTATGCCTTTCCAGTAAAGTGTTACTGTTCAATAGAGTGCTATTGAACTCATTTATCAGCTCTTTGCATCCAACCACTGCTGGGAGAGCTCAATTTACTAGACTATCTTTACTATGAAGTCGCGGAGAACCTAACGGGTAACCGGGGCTCCGGCTCGACGTGCAGGAGAAGGAACGGGGTGGTTTTTAGTCAGTAAGAGTCTGACACTCCCTCCCGCCTCACCCAGGCGGGAGAAGTCATTCGATGATTTTCCCCCCTTAAAAAAATCTTTACTATGAAGAACATGTTCATCAATATCTCATAATTTCCCATCGTCGTATCTACCTAATAGTTCTTCAATAGTGTACCTAGGTCATCCACGCCTTACCTGCGTGTTAAAAATATCAGCTGAAAATGCCTAAAAATAAATACATTTATCTGGACAATTTTTGCTAGGTCATAAGACCATGTTTATTTGCCTGCAGGTGTCAGATAAAGAACTAGTATCCATGTACAATTTAAATAAAGAATCTATTTTTTACGTTTTTAATGCTTACGCTACCTACCTACCTAAAATCTATGAAAATTTTTACCAAACAACTAATGCCTAAGCCTGCCCAAATTGTCACGGAGAACCTAACGGGTAACCGGGGCTTCGGCTCGAAGCGCAGGAGAAGGAACGGGGTGGTTTTTAGTCAGTAAGAGTCTGACGCTCCCTCCCGCCTCACCTAGGCGGGAGAAGTCATTCGATGATTTTCCCCCGTAAAAAAAACCTGCTCAAAATGGTTACTGGGAGTCGCTGGATACAAGTCGCTTTTGGAAGCGACGTGTGGTCCAGCTGGCTGATCCAGAAGTCATTGTGACTGATAATATACCTAACAAAGCCATTGAAAACCTATAGCCCTTTGACCTACAACGGTGCATCTTTAACATTGGCTTGAAGGTCATTTGACCTAATTAAAATTTTTAATAAACAATAACATTCTTCACAGTATTGTACTTAGAAAATTAATTATGTATGCATGCTCGTACATTCTACAGTTTTCAGATGAAATATGAACTAAAGTAATGAATAATGCAGTCTTAAAATATACACAGAAACATGAAAACTACGTCGCAATTCTCTATGCAAAAATGTGTTTTGTTAACTCCCAGTTTTAGACGACCTCGCGACACGCAATTATGCGTATTTTTATCAATTTATTTATCACAAAAGTCAGTAGCAATTATTATTTCATCTACAAACTTATTTATCAGTGTTATCAAGAACAGAATCAAATACATTACGTCAAATATTAAACAACATGTACACAGAACGCAATTATCATTGGTGGACATGTCAGTGTGTGTCGGGTCGCGGTCGAGACGTCAACTCCTGCGCATACGGCCCAAAAATACACAACCTTGAACTTCTCACGCATTAAAAATTATAATTCATAACCTCAAATAAACAAATAATGGTATTAAAGTGTTAGTTAGGGATAAGTATAGTGAAAATGTTGAGTTTTAAAGTGGGAGCGAGACAGCTGATGAGGTGGAAGGAGTTGCACCTCGATCGTGTGAAGTATCATTCTGGAGTGGGAGTGTTCGGTCATCGACCGACGAGAGTGAATGATGTTGGTACGTAAACAGATGATATTGTTGGAAACCATGTTTGTGGGTTATACAAGTTTATATGCTAAGAAGTATAGCTATACCTTCTAGTTTCCATTTTGATAATAGAGAGAATGACATTGAAATTAATTTCATTTAAGAAACTCTAATAGTCTTATTATATTTGAATACTACAAACAAAATCATGTTTACTACATTTACTAGCTAATTAATTTATGACAACGTTATGTGGTCTTCTAAAACTAAGAGGGGTTTACAGACTCTTCCTTCCGCTACTTAATCTGCGATAGATAATAAATCTGATACAAAATATCGAGTACCTTTTTCAAACTGCTACTTGAAAATTAAAATCTAAAAAGAATGAAATGAATGAAAATACAAGTAATCCTCTATTGCTCATATTGTAAAGATAAGTAATTAGTTTTATTAACTTACTATAGATAACATATGATTGGTAAACACTAAACAGCACTCATTATTTTATCCCTAGATATTTAAATGTACTCATTAAACAAATAGAGTGTATGTTATTTTTAATATTCATGGCCGATTTCTCAATCATCAGTTAGTTCTTAACTGTAGAATAAAATTGAAATTTAATAGTTTTTAGGTGCACATTACGCCACTTAATGCCACTGTATAATGTAACACTCACTTTCCAATATTTATGTTATGATTCCCATGTAATTGTCAATGGGACGCGCCGGACTTCAGCGTTCCGGTGTTTTCATGGTTGTATCTACTGTATATCCTGGCTTACAGGAGTTGCAGCGGTTTTGGGAGACTGTGGCGGACTTATCCATAAAAAAAAACGATAGAAGATTATTTCTAGCTTTGAGTCGCTCTATCCATTACGTATTTGTCAAAGTCTCGACATTTTTATTTGGCATATTCAAAAAGACGATAGAAGAAGAAGATAGAAGAAGCAAAGTACTAATGAGTTTAAAAAAAAAATCTCAGTAGTAGCACTGAGTCTGGAAATGTGCACAGTATAATGCAATAAGCTCACCCCTATTACATGGTACTTATAACTTAAATAGTGAAAAGTGGGTGTTACTTCTGTGTGCACCTCTGCCTACTCCTTCGGGGATAAAAAGGCGTGATGTTATATTATGTTAAGATAGAAGAATGAATTTGATTAATATAATATTTTGTCTCTGATGTTTAACTAAAATGTATGTAGTTCGGTTTACTACAAATAGTAATGGACAACAACAACGAAAGTATCTATAGTCGTATTTGCAATATGATTAAGATTTTACATTATATTCTATCCACCACAACAATTCTTATCTACGATTTCTTACAATTGACTTTTGACATTCAAACACGCATGCATTCACAAAACATGCAATCAAAACACGCTTAGTCAATTGACGTTATAAATAAATAAAATCATTCACATTATAAACAGAAAATTTAAAGACAAATACAATAAATCATTGTGAGCTAAAAGTGACTTTCATTTTTATTTCTTGTAAATAAACATAACATAACATTTTATAATCCGAACTCTATTACTTTGAAATTACCAATTCTACGTGGTTCTTTATACATAACATCATCCCGCCTTTTATCCTCGAAGGGGTAGGCAGAGGTGTACATTATGCCACTGTAGAATGTAACACCCACTTTTCACTATTTACGTTATGAGCCCCATGTAATAGGGGGTGAGCCTATTGCCATATACCGGGCACAATTCTAGACTCCGTGCGACCACTGAGAGTTTTTTAAAAAAACCCAGTAGTACTTTGCCCGGCCCGAGAATCGAACCCGAGACTCCTCGCCCGGCAGTCGCACTTGAGACCACTGGGCCAACGAGGCAGTATTTCTTGTAAATAGTTAATATCAATTTCGAAATCCCAGTAATACTTTGCATGCTCTGGGAATCGCACCACTACATGACCGAGGAGGTAGTCAGTAATAATATATTTTTGACCTTCAGATCTCCCCGAAGAAGTGGTAGATAAAAGAAATGAAAACTGTAGAGCACAGCGACTAGTAGACGCCTATCGCACATATGGACATCTAAGAGCTACAATAGACAATGTCAACTATAAGAATGAAGACAGGTAATACAAAAACTCATAATTAATTGCAATCTATTACTGGTTTATCACTTCTTGATTAAGAGAGAGGGAGAACCATGCTTCGAACGAATGGGCCGGCTCGACCACAGTGGTATCGCTTCGGTCGGTACGGCCTCACAGAAAACCGACGTGAAACAACACTTGCATTATGTTTCGTCGTGTGACGGAGGTTACCGGAGGCCCAACCCCCCCCCCCCCCCCCCCCCCCCCCCCCCCCCGAGAATCCCCATCAATCCTCAAATTTCTAATCCCCAAAAGGCCGATAACGCACTTGTAATGCCTTTGGTGTTTCGGGTCTCCATGGGCGACGCCAATTGCTTACCATCAGGTGATTCGTCTGCTCGTTTACCGGCTTATCGACCGGCTATACGAGGTGTCCAATAATTATTTACGTCTCAACCTTTATACAACAGTTAAATACTAACATCGCAAGTAATTAGGTAACCATAACTATACTGTGGTTTTATATTTTCAGAACTGTCAAGGAGCTTAACATATCAAGATACGGCCTCAGTTCAGAGGATGCTGTTGACTTGGGCCTCGTGTACGGGTATGAAGGCAAACAGTCTGTGAAGAACCTGGTAGAAACTTTGGAGGGAATATATTGTGGACCTATCTCCTATGAGTTTAATTATTTAGAGGTTAGTGGTACATATAGAGGTTTTACTACTTGATAAAGAAAAGAGAAAATTTACACAATATAACATCATGCCTTTAATTCCCGAAGGGATAGGCAGAGGTGTACATTACGGCATTTGATGCCACTGCACAATATAACACCCACTTTTCACTATTTATGTTATGAGTCCCATGTAATAGGGGGCACCCCCTATGCCATATACCGGGGACAATTCCAGATTTCGTGATTCTACTGAGAATTTTTAAACTCAATAATACTTTGAACATAGTAATTCCAACTCGGGACCCCTTACCCAGCAGTCGCACTTCCGACCACTCGGTCAACGAGACAGACAAAAGAAGAGTTGCAAAAAAATCAGAACAAATTAAGCCATTCGCGTATGGTAACAGGTTTACCTAGTCTACTTTAATATATTTTTATGACTATAACAAACAATTACCAATTGATTATGAATAATAACATAATTATCTATTAACATGCAAATGTGCAGATCTAGCAAGCAAGCAAGACACACACAAAGTTTAAAACGGTAAAATGCGATGCGACTATACTATTTTCTGGATAATCTAACTAGTCTTCAAAGTGAATTGAGTCAACATACCCGTAGTAAATGTTTTCGTGTAGTGCAGCTCCAAATATTTATTTTACTCTTGTCTAGTGCCAACGCATTTTGTACGGCATGCAGGTAACTACAGAATCTGTAGTTTCGTCACGTTGCATCTATATGTTACGAATACAAATATTCTAATACTAAAAGTTATTTTATTTTGTGTTTTAATACAGTGTTCCAAATAAAACATGATTTTGAAATGTAATACAAAATATATTTTACCTAAATAATCCTATTTATTCGATAACTTTGCTGTATTGTAGAAATAAATTCCTGTATAAATCGACAGCATTCTAAGGAGAGAAAACTACGAATAAAATATTTTAAGTTAACTTGAATTCTACACTTATTCTATGAATGACTGAATTCTATACATCAAAAATTTTATTACACAGAGCTGAATAATAATGTCAGTCGTTTTCATTTTAGTCCGTAAAAGCCAAATTTATAGTTTGCTGGTTTTTTTTATGGCATAAGCCGGTAAACGAGCTCCTGGCGGTAAACAATCAGCGCCGCCCATGGACACCTGAAGTACCAAGTGCGTTACCGGCCTTTTATAAATTGAGAATTTGAGAATTGTGGAGGATTCAACGATTGGGGTGACTGGGGAGGGGGGGGAATTGGGTCTCTGAACCTCAATCTCCGTACCTCACGAAATACAACGCAAGCGTTGTTTCACGTCGATTTTCTGTGAGGCCGTGGTATCACTCCGGTCGAGGCGGCCCATTCGTGCCGAAGCATGGCTCTCCCACACTTAAATTATATATTTGTATAATAAATACTTTTATGTTAAAGACATTAATAACAGAATTTCTTTCTCTATCATTTATTTTATAGACAGAAGCCGAGCGAGAATGGTTTGCCCAAAGAGTAGAGAATGGCCAAGATGCTATAGACAATGCCCGACGCGTAGAGATCGCAAAGGAATTGATCCGATCCCAAGCCTGGGACAAATTCTTGGCCTTGAAGTTTCCCACTGTCAAGAGATACTGTGGTGAAGGAGCTGAATCTATTCTTACATTTTTCTCTAGTCTTATGAAGTTAACGGCTGCAGGTGAGATTATATTTTTTATCATAATTTCAATTTTCTCCAAAGTGGTCATAGGTACGTACGTAATACAGAGTATCTACCCTTAAGTTATGTAGTACATCAACTTGCACCTTACTGTTGCGAGTTTTGACATCGAAATAATCAAAAAGAATTATGGCTAGGTAATTAAATGAAATGGCTTTGATGATATGGCATTTATAACGTCAGCTATTGCTGCTTCTTGCAGCTATATGCTTCAAATATAAAATTATCATAAATTCGTTAACCCAAAGATGTCATAAAACAAATTCAGACAATAGGAAACGAAGTCAAACTCGTAAAACTAAGTACAGTAATTATAAATTAATTGGATCAAAATTGTGAAAATAATGAATGAGAAATCCAATAGGCTGGCTTTGTTTCGAACTTGAAACTCTCGTAATTACATAATTTATAGAGAACTTTGTTAAGTTCCTTCCCTTATTATGTACAATGGCGTATTCATAGCGTAGTAAACGCGTAGTCCGTTTCGTAGCATCGTAGAATTTGTAGCTACAGCGTAGTAACCTCGTAACCGCTACGCAACCTTCGTAACCGCTACGCATTCTCGTAGCCATAATAAAAATTATAAGGTGAAATATCACATTTTGCAATATGATGACATCTAATAATATCCTGTAAATAAAACAACATGAAATAAATCATACTTGGCTTTGAATTGACTTGTGTGAGCCACGAAATAAAGGATAACAGCAATCTGTTTAATCTTTTTAAAATTTAGTAAATGTTATGCAAGGTCCTTCCATATACACAAATTTCTTAATTTAGAGTAGACAGATGCCAAAATGTTAATATGATTCAAACATAGCTCTTTGGGTTTATCTACATTAATCGATTTCTTCATACAAGTTCGATGATTGTAACTAAGTCCTTACAAAAACTTGCTTTATGTTTTACAGAGGGAGTAGAACACGTGACTATATCAATGGGTCACAGGGGAAAGTTGAACGTAATGACTGGACCACTGCTGTACCCGCCGGTGAAGATCTTCCACAAGTTCACTGGCCAGCCTGAGTTCCCGCCTGAAGCAAATGCTGCTTGCGATGTAGCTTTGCATCTTAGTAAGTTGACAATAGAAAGATAACCTATGTATTACAAGTTAGACATACCAATAACATAACATAACATCACGCCTTTTATCCCCGAAAGGGTAGGCAGAGATGCACATTATGCCACTGTACAATGTAACACCCACTTTTCACTATTTATGTTATGAGTCCCATGTAATAGGGGGTGAGCTTATTGCTATATATCGGGCACAATTCTAGACTCCGCGCTACTACTGAGAATTTTAAAAACCCAGTAATACTTTGGTCGACCCGGGAATCGAACGACCCGGGACTTGCCCGGCAGCAGACCACTCGGCCAACGAGGCAGTCTATACAGACATACAGACTATACAGACATACTAATACTAACAGGAAAACAGTCATAATTGTAAGTCGTACCTTAATTGTAAAGAATCACTTTGTACAAACCTTATGCCTATCCTGAATACCCAACTCTGTCCTATACGAGAGTCAAATCTAAGATCTCATCTTCAGTAGACTGCAAATTTTTCTGACTGTATTGTATTTCAGGTACCTCAGTGGATATTCCAGTTAACGACAAATCTGTTAGATTCTCATTGTTGAACAACCCATCTCATTTAGAGGTAATTCATTTATACTATAATTATTTGTCAATTGTCCAAATCATGACATCTCGTTATCTTTATCTTTATATATATAATTCTGGTGTACGTGCGTATGTCATTGAACTACTCCTAAACAGCTTGACCGATTTAAATGATTTTTTCTGTATGCGTTTGAGTGGCGTCCTGGATGATTTAGATTTACAAATCAGCCCGGCAGATGGCGTTGCAGTCGGTATCTAGGTTATTTAACTATACTTATTATTATATTATTATTATTTTATTATATGCAGGACAACGTCTATCGGGTCCGCTAGTAGTATATAAAAAGTTCCATCCTACATCGTAAGTTACCCAGGATATGTGAAGTCTTCCAATAGTTTGTTAATGTTCCAGGCAGCTAACCCAGTGTCTATGGGTAAGGCTAGATCAAAACAACTGCTGCTGAAGGAAGGAGACTATTCTGAGGATGGATCATCTAGATTAGGAGACAAAGTACTTAATCTTCAGGTAATGTCACTTTTTTACTATGGAAATTTGGTTGTTTTTTTATTTTTTGCGTGTTTATTCTTTCCATATTGTATTGTACTTGTACCGAAAAAAATTTTTATACCTTTTCTAACTTAAAAAAAAAATGTTGTTGCAAAATAATATTCTTACTATGTATTTCTTACTCATTACTTGCGTCAAATATGCACGTAGGCACTATTTATAGGAGGTACTTACTTGGTACCTACTTACCATACCTAAGTACCAGTTTCTGATTAGACTATGAATTTGATACTTTTTACCTTTAGCCTTAAGGTACTACTGCATAAGTATGTCGTGTGTCTGGGGTGGACTGATAAACACTTTCTCATTTACCTACCTACACCCGGAATAACAATTAGGATGCTACATGGGAATTTACCTTCGACGCATTGCATAGCAGTCGCTCACCCAGCCACTGATGGACCGCAATCAACCATCACTATTTATTTTTTTGTTTTGAAGTATTTCATAAGTAAATACATTTTAAATTTATTTCATTTTAGTTGCATGGAGACGCAGCTTTCGCTGGTCAGGGAATAAACCAAGAAATGCTGATGATGTCACAAGCCCCACACTTCAATGTCGGTGGATCTATGCACGTTATTGTTAACAATCAAGTAAGTAGCCGTTTATCTTTTAACTACTTACAACTACTAGATGATTATGTAGATAACTCACTACTGTAACACTTTAATGACTGCCTCGTTGGCTGAGTGATTGCAAGTGCTACTGCCGGGCCTTAGGTTCCGGATTCCCGGGTCGGCCAAGTATTACTGGGCTTTAAAAAAATTCTCAGCGGTAGCGCGGAGTCTGGAATTGTGCCGGGTAAGTATATGGCAATAGGCTCACCCTCTATTACATGGGACTCATAACATAAATAGTGAAAAGTGAGTGTTACATTATATAGTGGCATAATGTGCTCCTCTGCCTACCCCTTCGGGGATAAAGGGCGTGATGTAGTTGTTGTGTTATGTTATGTGTAACACTTTAAACGTCACAGGGATAAAAAGAACCAGCGGAAGATTAGCTTTTAATAGTTTGCTGTCCGCAATCAAAGGGTTAATCGGTATTTTAAATTTGACGCATCATACAAAATAGCATTTTATTTTCTTCCACTAAATACCTAGTACTTCTTGTTCTAAAATCGCTACACCACGCTGCTCGTTATAATTCCATCTCGCTCTTTTTCCACCATTAGGTAAATGACAGCAATAATTTTTAGCTTATCTCAGTATTATATAAACCAGCAACAACTGGCCATTCATAACGTAAGTGTGTCGGTAATCAAGAAACATTAAGGAAATCTTTAAAGTCTGCCAAAGTGGGTTTTAATGAGTTTATTTTTGTACTATACTGTATAATACTGAAGGATAGGCAACAACATCTTAACTGTCATAACTATCGTGAGTTACTCACGTGAAAATACTGAGAAAAGGTCTACTAGTTCCGAGCCACAAAGGAACTCTTCCTCATGAGCAGCGTGCGAGGGTTTTTCGTTAACATCTTAACTTTTGGTAATCTGCGAGTCCAAAGTCGTTAGCCAAGAGTAGGGATTAAATGTGGGGAATTATATAAAATTAAGTATATATGCAAGCTTTAGTTGAACCGTGAACAATAGGGATAATGACAGGGTATGAAAATTAAAAATCTAATAAGTACGTCAATTAGATAATAAAAACTATTAGGCACGTTTTTTTTTCGTATAAGAAAACATATAATATTTCGTATAATCGTTTAGGAGTGGGAGCTAACTACGACATTTTTGAGTATAAAACTTAGGTACACAAAAGTGAGCTGAAAGTATTTGTTAACGTAAGAAATTAAAAAATACGTGTCTTATGTTTTTAAATAATCTAAACCAGACGGACATTTAAATAAACATTACTCATCTACCCTATTTGGCCATATTCTGGCTGATGATGGACTTTTTTGAATTAGGAAAGATCAAACAAGAGCTGACATTTCGCCATATGGTTAGCAATCAACAGTCCATGATGACAATGATGTTAATAAGTAGACTACAACAACAAGACTTCAACAATCCAACTATGCTTAACAATCCACAATACCTTCTCCCAGGTTGATTACAACCATCCTTAGAGCCGGCATTCTAATGCGGGGCTGCGAATGAATTTGGACTCCCGCGGCCCCGTGCGCACGTGCTAAGAGACACTTTTTTTTAAGGGGTAGAATCATCTAATGACTGCTCCCGCCTGGGTGAGGTGGGAGGGAGTGTCAGACTCTTACTGACTAAAAACCACCCCGTTCCTTCTCCTGCACGTCGAGCCGGAGCCCCGGTTACCCGTTAGGTTCTCCGCGACTCCGAGGGAAGAGACACTGGGGTGGTTTTAGCCAGTAATAGTCCGGCACACCCCTCTGCCTTTGCCCAGGTAGAGGTAGTCCATGAGGATTTCCTCCCATTAAAAAAATAGGTTAGTTAGGTAGCTAACCAAGCTTATACATTCTCGTCCATTATGGAACCCATCTTCGCATAAATCTAGCAAAGTACATCTTTATGAGTCAGTGTTTTTGTGGTTTAATGCTGAACAAGCGATATAAATCACTGCAGCTAATGTTCTTAATGTTCATGGTAGCGTATCAAAAAAGAGCAAGTTCGGCTGTTAAAAGATATAAGGCGGTCGCCTTGGGTATGAATTCGAGTCTAGTAAAAAAATATAATTATGTGTCGTGGTGGCCCGGAGGTTTAAGACGCCCTTCTTCTCATGCATGAGGGTGCGGATTCGAAACCTACTAACGGCAAGTACCAATGTGACTTTTTCCAAGTTATATGTACTTTATAAGATTATCTAGACACCACTGACAAACGGTGAAGGAAAACATCGAGAGGAAACCTGGGCTTTTAATTTCTTATTATAAGTCTGTACTTCGCCAACAAATACAAAATAAATAATAGTCTGTCAGTCAGCCCGTTAGTGAAGCTAGGTGAAGCTAGGTGCTCATTCCAAAATGTAGATTCGATTCGAGAACAACGAGCAAGAAACCCCATGAGAACTTCTCATCAAGCTAGTCCATTCGGAAAACCGATTCTCTACATAATTATGAGAACATTTTTGTTCTGTCCTTCTTCATTTGTTCTGGCTTTTGTTTTACTTACGCCAAATTGTTTTGCTCTCACTGTATCACAAACACGTACGCCTATGTTCGATCATTTAGCAAAAACATGGTTTTGCCATTCGTCACCCACAGATGTATAATAACATCAGTACTCTTTTTTCCGTATTATATTTAATGTAATTGTAATAAATTAGATATTGGCTTCGAAATACTTTGTTTGGCTGTTTGTTTATAGTTTTATGGAATATTCCATTAACATTAACTTCGCCTGTACTATTTTAGTGCTAAGTTAAATAAACTTTAACGTTGTGTCTCAAAAGATACATTAGTTACTATCTATTCCCCATTCAGCACCAGTTGCATAAAATCCCTTCGAAATAGAAGATTTTTTTTTGTTTATAATTTCTTTATTCAACATAAAAACATTACAGTCATTATAAAACAGACACGGTCAGTTTATTAGAGTCAGAATACATATATATGACCATGCTGGTTAACACACCTATAAAGTCTTAAAAATACAGATTGGATCTCATAGTTTTGTCTTTACAATGTAGGCAAAACTCACTGTCACACAAGTAAACCAGTAAATTAACAATAAAGAACATCCCACATTTAAAAAAGACGTGCGTCTTCGTCGCAGCGTCGGCGCGTTGACCGCGCGCTTCCAACTAAAATAGTTTTAGTCTTTATCGCATTATAAAACTGCAATGTACCTCAACCTCGTGTGATGTCGCGCAAGAGTGTAAATGTAGCATTACAATACCTATCTACGATGCGACGTTGTTTCGCTGGCGCCTGGTGGGCAGCTCGCCGTCAACTCGCCGCCGCCCCGTTGCCTCGCCGAGGCCGCACCGACGCAGCGTGGGCGTCTCGCCGTAAGCACTACACCTCGAGTGGACCGTGCGCTGACCACCCGCCGCGCTGTCGGCTTTTGTGTTGACGTTACGAAATGTATCATACGACATACGATTTAAAATTCATATTTAACCTGTTGAAATATTGTACCCTAAAATTGTTTATGCAAAAGTAGTCTTTAAATGACAACTTAATGTCTAGGTTGAAGCCGTGCTTTTTAAATGTGGGACGTCCTTAAGGCCTATTCTTATAACACAGACACAATTTTAAAACAATAGAAATAGCAGATAGTTGTAGTACCAACACTGAATAGTTTTCTAAAATAACTTTTTGTATAATTTCAGGTTGGTTTCACTCTCCCAGCCGCACGCGGTCGCTCCAGCCGATACGTCACAGATTTGGCCAAATCCATCGCAGTTCCTGTCATCCATGTGAATGCTGATCATCCTGAGGTAATATTTATTTAGGGAACAGAGTGGAAAGTTCCTTTATATCGGAAAAGGAGGATTCTCCGACCAGGCGAGGTGATCGTGCCTGGCAGGCTTTCTGCCCAACAGTGGTTCGTTGGGATCTTCTATCCGTGTTAATTTGCATGTAAACTTGACATGGGCGATGTAGGATATTTCTGACGTCATCCGTTGACATGTATATGTCGCCACATTTATATAATAACTATCGTAAGAGATGTTATACTAAATTAAAAGAAATACTCTTCTAATTGGGGGCTGGGATGGGATAACTGGTTAACGAGCAGACGGATCACCTGATAGTAAGCAATGGGCGCCGCCCAAGGATACCTTAAACACCAGAGGCGTTACAAGTGCTTTATCGGCCTTTTGATAATTGCGAATTTAAGGATTTTGGGGGATTCGGGGGTTGGGGAGATTGGGCAGAGTGTATATTGGCCTCTGGTAACCTCACTCATACGACGAATCACAACGCAAGCGTTATTTCAAATTGGTTGGTTGGTAGCATTACTCCGGTCGAGTCAGCCCATTAGTACCGAAGCATGGCTCTGACACACTTAACACGATCTGTTATTAATGTATCTTCTATTTCCAGTTGGTAGTAAAAGCAACGAACATAGCCTTCGAGTACCAGCGCAAGTTCCGCAAGGATGTGTTCATTGACTACAACTGCTTCAGGAAATACGGGCATAATGAGGTCGATGACCCCACCTTCACCAACCCACTACTTTACAAACTCATTCATAGTAGGAAGTGAGTATATTTTTGGTATAGTTTGTTAACTAATTTTGTGTGATCTCTTGTCATGTACATATGTTTAAACTGTCAAACACCAAGCGGTCACCAGTGACCGCAACCTATTGTTCTATAATTGTGTCTACAAAACCGGTACTCGACAAGTTAAAGGGCTAACTGATGATACACAGTCATTTTATAAAATGGAATGGAATGATATTTATTCCTGCAAATAGGTTACAATGTAACACTTTTACACGTCAATCTTTAAATTACTGGATGAGGGCTTTCCTAACTGACTAATCTGAAAAGAAACGCTGAAACAAAATCAGAGGTCATATTATATGGTTACTTAAACCAGTCTATAGCAATGCAGAATTCTTGATAAGGAATGATCGCAAGTGCGACTACCGGGCAAGGGGTCTCGGGTTCGATTCCCGAGTCGGCCAAAGTATTACTCGGTTTGTAAAAACCTCTATAGCAGCACGGAGTCTGGAAATGGGCCCGGTTTATGGCAATAGGCTCACCCCCTATTACATGGGACTCATAACATAAATAGTGAAAAGTGAGTGTTACATCGTACAGTGGCATTAAGTGCCGTAATGTGCACTTCTGTCAACCCCTTCGGGGATCAAAGGCGTGATGTTATGTTATGTTATAATTCTACAAATCATGACTTAATTTACATTTTTTAGAACAATCCCAGACCTTTACACGGAAAAACTGGTGTCGGAAGGTCTGTTAAGTGAAGAGGAGGTGAAGAATGAAGTGGCAGCACACACCAGCTACCTACAGAAGCAATTCGAAGCCGTCCCTACTTACAAACCTGAGGTAAATATTAGTATTTATATATATAAGCAATAGTGTGGTTATATGTGTGCGTGTGTGTCCATGTTATATCCACATTCGACTAGATATGTTGTGAGTCCAATTTAATAAATAAAATATTAACTCATTTTTATCCCCGAAGGGGTTAACAGTGGTGTACGTTACGGCACTTAACGCCAATTTACTAATGTAACACCCACTTTTCACTGTTTATGTTATGACTCCCATGTAATAGGGGGTGAGCCTATTGCCATATACCGGGCACAATTCCAGACTCCGTGATGCACTGAGAAATATTTAAAACACCCAGTAATACTTTACCTGACTCGGGAATCGGACACGAGATCTCTTACCCAGCAATCGCACTTGCGATCACTCGGCCAACGAGGCATTCAGTCTTAAGTAATAAAGGGTGGTCTATTGTCATACATTTTAGGTTTTGTGTCATAACTAAAACAGTTTCAATAAACTGAAAAACAAGTTAATATGCCAACCGAATCTAGCCTAAGACCTCGATCAATTTTTTTCTTGTTTTTTATTTTCTTTTAGAAAAACGTTGCCCCACACTAGGATTATCTCCTGTGTCGTGGGTGCGTTTACAAACATACAAGTTCACATACACATGACACCCAGACCCGAAACAACAATTGTGCATCACACAAAGTGTTGTTCCGTGCGGGAATCGAACCCGCGACACGTTGCACGGCAACCGGTTGCCCAGCCATCGCACCAACCGTGCAGTCATTGCGAGCGACTTACCTCACTCAAAAAACTCACGTTTCGCGTCAAGCTCCATCATGCGAACCGCTAAGGAATGGAATTCCTTGCCAGAGGCTGTGTTTCCCGTCAAATATGACTTGGGTGTCTTCAAGTCCTGAGTGAACAGGTTGCTCATAGGTAGGCGTGCTCCATCGTCCGCCACATTATCGCTTACCATCAGGCGAGATGGTGGTCAAACGTAGACCTAAAAAGTGTAAAAAAAAAACTCTCACCACTCGACTAACGATTTCAACACAAACTTCTATAAAATCAAAAATCAAACTCCATAAGCAACAACAAGCAAGAAACTTACTTACACGTAACTTTACCTCCTCGACGTCAGCATAAATAAAATGTTTTCATTTATTTTAAGACTAGCTTTTGCCTTCGACTTTGGACGCGGTTTCAAAATTGTTCCGGTATTGTCAAATTTCAGGAAAAAAATTTTTCGTCGTGTGAGTGAGGTTACCGGTGATCCAATTACCCTCCCTTTCCCCAATCTCCCCAATCCCTGAATCCCCAACGATCCTCAAACTCCTAATCCCCAAAAAGCCGGTGACGCACTTGTAACGCCTTTGGTGTTCCAGGTGTCCATGGGCGACGCCGACTGCTTACCATCAGGTGATCCGTCTGCTCGTTTACCGGCTTATGTCATAAAAAAAGACAAAAAACAACATTTCTTGCGCAGTCAGTCAACTATCAAGACAGACAAGTTTTTATATGTATTTCTATTTAAAATAAACTTATGAAATATGTAAATGTGCGGTTCAGCGTTACAAGGAAGATTATTAACTTTAACTGAAGGACGGTAAAGTTCATCGAGGTACCTTTAATAATGAATTAGGCGTTCATCAGATACTTAGGAACATGATTTTGGAAGAAAAACATAATGTTCATAATGAAAGTTTAGAAATACTGAGTCGAAGATGTAGGTAGAGGTGCACATCCACAATATATCACGCACTATTCACAATACCGGTTCGGTTATGAGTCCCATATAATGAGGTAAGGCTATTATCATACGGCAAATGTATGGGAAAGTAAAGTGTGGCAGAGCCATACTACGGCACGGATGGGCCGGCTCGCACGGAGTGATACCACGGCCTCATAGAAAACCGAAGTGAAACAACGCTTGCGTTGTATTTCATCGTGTGAGTGAGGTTGCCGGAAGCCCGGAGACCCAATTCCACCCCACGTCCCAAGTCTCCCCAATCCCTGAACCCCCACAATCCTTAAATTACTAATTCCAAAAAGCCACTTGTAACGCCTCTGGTGTTTCGAATGTCCATGGGTGTAGCGTAGTTCGTAAAAAAAGTTAAATTAACCTACATGAACAAGTTTTAACAAAATATTTATATATAACAACCCCAAAAGAACATTATAATGTTCTTTCAAATTATGATTTATGTTATATTATAATATAACATAAATCATTACATCAATCATAACCGAAAACAACATTAAACTTGTATCAGAAAAACAAATCAATCAGTTTAAAAAGATTACTTGATTTTAAACGTCAATTATTGTCTGACAGCTCAAAAACTTTGGACCAAAGTTGTAAAGTTTTCGATGATAACAATATTGATAGCTATTGTTCTGAAGATTTTATGGTTTTAACGATCTTGCAAACGCGTAGTCGGAGAGCAAATTGTTTAATTTCTAGGATCATCTTTTTAATCGAACACCAAGGTAAGAATCGTACTTTAGGAACTGCTCTTGGAGTTTTAATCCCATTTCAACTACGTATTAACAAAAATTGACTTCACTTTTCGAGTAATTGCATTGTGCGTGTGCTCAGAACATTGACTTAAGTTTGATATCGCGAAGTTTGCATGATGTATCTACTTGAGAACTCCATATTTTAAATATTGGCGAATAATCTATTCACTGTAAGCCTTTGCTTACCCCACAGGAATATAACATGCGCAACTTTATGAGTTTTCATTTAACAACAGATAGTTTGCGATAAAAAAAGTGATGTTCATGGAAACCTCGTAGCAGAATCTTGTACTAACAGACACATAACAAGTTACGATGTTATTCACGTCTCATACGACGAAGTAGAGGTCAGTTAACTTGGAACAGAGTTCTGACGTGATGTACAGATTAACCAATTTACAAGCGTAGCTGTAAACATGGACTTAGATACTACGTATACATCTAAAGTACTGGCGTAGCACTGTTTCTTATAGAAGAGATAAATACAACATTTATTGGTACTAAAATTACTAAACACTTCACTCATTACCAGAAGTTAAATATAGTTCTACTATGTCATAGTCAAAGTCAAAGTATTTATTTCAATCACTTTTGAAACGTCAAAAATTGAATTGTCCGGCCGTCCGTCTGTATGTCAGTGAAGCTAGGCGCTCGTTCCAAAGTGTTGTTTCGAGTGGAGAAGAACGGGAAAGAAATTCAATCGTTACTCTTTTAAAAAAAATGTATTTATAGTCTCATTGATACATTATTTGATCCTTAATATGACTTAAAGTAAGCTTTTGTGCATGTTACATTAAATTAGTACGCTACTCAAACACCACTTAAATACACCTTAAAAAGACTACAGCATGAAACTTAACAGCATTTTATTTGAGAACATTTTATTACTCGATCGTAAAATACTGGAACTTATGTTCAAACTAAAGTCAATTTTAAAGCGTTAACATCAAGATACACTTTCGATAAATCAATGTTTAGTTAGACAGTTGAAAAGTTCAGACTGAAAGGTTCTGAGAGAAGCGATTATGATAATGCCCTATTGTTATCGATGTTATTCGAGAAATCTAGTAATTCGGGAAGTCTCATACATTATTTATAAGGTACGATTTGTGATTGAAATAACTACATGCCTTATATTTCCGAGTCCTGAAATGAAAGTCCTTGCCCCCAGCGAGGAAGGAAGGAATGATGTTGATATTTACATATTTTACCTACCGTTGACAATTCAAGGGTTTTCTATTATTTGTTGTATTTTGTTCAAGGTAGAGTTTTTTAACGTGTATTCGGATGAACTAAAACTGTGACCAAAAATACTTGTGTCTGAATACTGAAACGCTACTCAATTTTAAGTCGCGCTTAAGTATAGTTCTGTCACCACTAATTCTTTGTAAAATGACAGAGATGGCACTTTTATTTAAGCACGACTTAAAATTGAGTAACGTTTCAGTATTCCGGCGTTGGTCATACAGACCTCGTTTAAATTTGCATAAAATTCTGTTATTCTTTGAACGAGTTGGCAAAAGTCTGCTTCAAAATTTGCTGTCTACAATTTAGAACATAGATAATAATCTAATTTTTTTATGGAATGAGCCAGTAAACAAGCAGACCGATCACTTGATGGTGAACAAACGGCACCGCCCATGGACACCCAAAACACCAGCGGTGTTACAAGTGCGTTACCAGTTTTTTGGGGATTAGAAATTTGAGGATTGTTGGGGATAGGAGAGGGGTGTAATTTTGAGCATCCGGTAACCTTGCTTACACGACGAAAGACAACACAAGCGTTGCTACACGTCGGTTTTCTGTGAGGCCGTGGTATCACTCCGGTCGAGCCGGCCCATTCGTTCCAAAGCATGGCCCTCCCACACTTACTTATTACACGGACAAACTTACTTCTTATCTTAATACTTAACAGACATTCAATACTTAAATATAGGAAACATTTATCTCCAAACCAAATACCATCAGTACCTACAAATTAAAACCGTGTATCTTTTTCCCCCACAAATTCAGACCGTCCCGATGTCTAACAAATTACAGATAAGATTTAGAAATGTACCTAATTTATTGTCTGGGCCTTCTGTTCTCTGCTTACAGCTATCTACTTTATCACTAGTAGCTTTGCCTTATCCCTTCACATCCTAACTGTTCTGTGTTCCTCTTTAATTAGTCGCCAGGCTGGCTCAGAACTTTGTAAGGACAATAGGGCTTTAAATCGGCTGTATCCTTCTACTTGTGTTTGCTTTTGAGCAAATTATTGTAGGATACAGAAATCTTTATCATATTTAGTACGTATTATACCATATAAGTATCGAATGTTATCAAAGTGTACTCTATAGGTACGCGGACTGCATCAAAAGTCGATGACCTTATTTATATATTCAAAATCACTGTACACCGAAATCGGTCAACATAACGAGCGCTAGAAATAAATGAATTATTACATTTGTAAAAAGCACTTACTGTACTGTCCTCTAGTACTTAAGTTCATCCAAAGTTAAGACCGATTCTTCTAGAAGAAATATTCTGTAATATCATCTTAAATGCTGTCATAATTAGCGATAGTAACGTCACATCTTCTTTTACATTATTTATCATGATATGCCATCAGCACCACAATAGGACATCCGTAGCATTAAGGAAGTTACAATGCGATGCGGACGCTCTATGTAATATAATGAAATTCAATATCTCTACCAATATTTTAAATTAGAATAATATACTGTTCAATGCATTCTATCTTAACACCATATTATGATTGCACCATATTACAGGTCAGCTACTACCAGGAGCAGTGGGCAGGTTTCCAAGCAGCACCCAATGCTGTGGAGACCTGGGACACAGGAGTCGACACCGGTCTGTTGCAAATGGTTGGACACGCCTCTGTTGCATACCCTGATAACTTTGTAAGTACAATTTAATTTTTCACTTTACGTATTCGATTACACTTTCAAGAGGGACTTATGTATAGGGATGATATAGGACGTGATTTTTATTAGGGTTTAATACATAGGATGAAACAAAACATAACATAAAATCACGCCTTTTATCCCCGAAGGGGTAGGCAGAGATTCACATTATGCCACTGTACAATGTACCACCCACTTTTCATTAATTATGTTATGAGTCCCATGTAAGAGGGGGTTAGCCTATTGCCATATACCGGGCACAATTCCAGACTCCGTGCTACTACTGAGATTTTTTTTAAAAACCTAGTGTTACCTTGCTCGGTAATCGAACCCAAGACCCCTTGCCCGGCAGTACTTGCAACCAGAGACTAAGAAGAAGTAAGACTTGACGGGTTGCCGGGACTCTGGCTCGAAGTGCAGGTATAGGAACCGGGTGGTTTCTAAGTCAGTAAGAGTCTGACACTCCCTCTTGCCTCACCCAGACGGGAAAAGTCATTCGATGATAATCCACTTAAATAAATATTCTCGCTATGTACTTATATGACAAGTACTAATACGTGTAAAAAGTGATTAATGGTTAGTACCTTTATCAAAATAACTATTTAAAGACAATAGCAAAAGACCTGAACACTATCATTAAAAACTACGACTTGTTTGTTCGACACTTCATATAAGATCCCTAACAACATAATCAAAGGTCAACGTCCTTTTCGTTACCAATAAGAAACTAAGTACTCCAAGTATGGACTCAATTGCCGCAGTTCCAATCCAATAAATTAGTTCACTACTGGAACAGTCTAGCCATCACAGTTAAGGATTACAGCTGATTTAGGTCAGACTAGCGCCTAACGTTGGAATTGAAGTTCTGATCCACTTTCATTAGAAACTTTGTTTAAGCAATTGGGATGATGGGAGGGTATGAAAATAAAAAATCTAATTAGTCCGTCAATTAGGTAATGAAAAAATATTAGACACGTATTTTTTTAATTTCGTCGTTTAAGAAACCAATACTTAGATAAAACGAATCAAAGTTTAGGAGTGGAGGCTAAGACGTCATTTCTACGTATAAAATTTTCATAGAAGTAACGTCACGCGACATTTCAAATCAATATATCGTCGAAAATATTTGTTTCTGTAAGAAAATAAATACGTGTCTAGTGATTTAAAATAATCTACCAGACGGACATTAAAATAAAAATTAGGCATCTACCCTGTTATATTGTACCTATGTGAATATTTTAGCATTAACACCATGACAATCGAAAGTTTTACTTTTGACATTTGGTAAATTTTATGTTATTTTTAGCCATGGGTATGTGCACTGCGGGGTATGTGTGTAATATCGAACAAACACCTCGTAGTTCTTACTGATAATATTCAGGTTTCTTGTTATTGTCTTTATAGTTGTAAGTTGTAACGTTATAGTCAAGCCATGTCGCGGAGAACCTAACGGGTTACCGGGGCTCCGGCTCAAAGTGCAGGAGAAGGAACGGGGTGGTTTTTAGTCAGTAAGAGTCTGACACTCCCTCCCGCCTCACCTAGGCGGGAGCAGTCATTGGATGATTTTCCCACCTCAAAAAAAAAATATTCAAGCCATAATTATACCCATTTAAGATACTGATTTTCCCCACTTAAAAAAAAAAATAGTCACGCCATATACCCATTTAAGCTACGCATATATATAGGTCTGCCAAGGTAACCTAGAAGGTATTGTTTGAGGCTACTGTTTACCCGAAGCAATTTAGGAGGGAACAATGCAGTTATCACACCGCTTGTCGGATTAATTTATCACTGAATATTATCAACGTTCAGGTCACTGAACTTCAGTACATTTAGGTTATAAATTACCCAACTGTCGTGATTGATTTATTATTACGGAGGACGATAGTAAATTATTGCCCAGATTTGTTAGTTCTGTCCTTTATATTTCGTCATCATCAGCAGCCTATAAGTACACTGCTGACCAAAGGCCTCTTCTCGGATAGAGAAGGTTTGACCATTAATCACCCCGCTTGCTAAATGTGGGTTGGCGATTTCAAACTTACATAACATTACAGCACTTAATGCCACTGTACAATGTAACACCCACTTTTCACTGTTTATGTTATGAGTCCCATGTAATAGGGGGTAAGCCTATTGCCATAGCCATATACCGGGCACAATTCCAGACCCTAGAGTGCTACCACTGAGAATAAAAAAAAAACTAAGTAATACTTTGCCATGACAAAAATAACAATAATTATGATTACAAAACTTACGTTATCAAATACACTTTATTAGAAGTTACCTTATAACAACATATTTCGAAGTTTTTATCCCCGAAATTGGACAACTTAAGTCGAATAGCTTTATAATCGTCTAAATTTCTAACTGAATTAGGAAACATTATTAAGAAATTAAGTGTTGTTGGTGGAAAAAGGTGGTGAAATTAGTTAAAATATCTATAGAACTAGGCGCGCGTCACCGCTGCCGCGCACGCTGCTTATGAGGAAGAACCCCTCTGTGGTTCAAAACTAGTAGAGATTTTCTCAGTATATTCACGTGAGTAACCCGCGTTTTTAGAGGTAGTATGTCTCACGATAGTTATTATAAAAACATCTATGTATAGAACTGATTTGGATGAAAACTGGTGGGGAGGTAGCTTAGAACCACGAGACGGATATAGGATACTTTTTATTCAAATTCTTTTTTTTTTACTTTTTACTGAAAATCACGAACGGGAACGGGAAAAAACGGGATTGTTCGTACTAATAAGTCGCGAGCAAAAGCTAGTTCAGGATAAAAGTTATATTTATGTGAAGCACTCCCTATCTGAACGGTTTTGTTAAACAATTACATAACATACGCCTTTTTATCCCTGAAGGGGTAGGCAAAGGTGCACATTATGTGAAAATAGTGAAAATAGTGAAACTATTTATTATATGAGTCCCATGTAATAGGGAGGTGAGCCTTTTGCCAAATAGCGAGCATAATTCCAGACTCCGTGCTACTATTGAGATTTTTTTTAAAACTCAATAGTATTTTGCCCGACCCGGCAATCCAACCCGAGGCACCTTGCCGAGGCAGTCAATACGGTGTTAAACAATTACCAATAACAATATTAAAAAAACCATTTTACTTTATCTTATAATTTTACATACTAGTCCAACCGAACGAGGGATTCGAAAAACTGCATCTATCGGACATGAATTCAATCAGATTCCCCGTCATTCCCACGATTGAATCCGCATAAATTCCACATCGTATCTCTGGATCGTTTGATTGGGTTATCAGAGCTTCGGATGCATCAATACAAATGATATTCTATCAGATACCTATATTACTCCAGCTATTTGTTAAACAAATCAGACTTTTATATTAGTAACTATAATTGATTTGTTTAAATTTTCTAGTATGTCATATAATGTTACACAGTTTTCTTTCCTTTGTTGGTGTAAATAACAGTATACTTATTACAAGTCTCAATTTTGTTAGTAATTAGGTACAGAACTTTTTGAATGGGTGTCTACATAAATAGGTACTCTTATGACAAAAATATATCTAGCAAACTACAATATCTTTTTCATATTAGACTCGTATTAACTAAAAATTACTGCTCTCTAGCTCTGCTCTCTTGC